CAAAATGATAGCTATAAAACGACACAAGGGGCTTTCTCATTGGATGTGAATGGAATCCACCTTGTCTAATTTATTGGGAGGAACATAAAAGAATCTTAATTATGAAATTTAATATTAGTAATTAACCTAATTTTAATCCACGATATGTTAGGCCATTTTTGGGATTTTGTTTCCTCAATTTTGTCCATACATTTTTTAACCAAATATTTGCCAATAAATTAAAATTCTAAATTTAAAAAATAAAGTGTTCTTTTCAATAAATTATTTTCGGGCGAAGTTTTTTAAAAATTACTTCTTAACCTTACGTAATCAACAAATCCAATAAGACATTCTTATTGTACTTAACCAATTTTTTTAATCACTATATAATAATAAATTGTACACCACATATTTTTATGGCCTGAGCAAAATATAATACCTATTTATAAATAACATTAATTAATTTTTTTAATTTATAAATTTACATTAATCTTTTTATTTTCTACAAGATTTATATTAATTTTATTATAAAAAAATAAAACGTTCAATTGGGTATTTAAGAATTATAGAAGCAAACATAATCCTCGAAGATTTAATCAAATCTTAACTCATGATATATTAAGTGGATAAAATTATTATTATTATTATTTTTTTTACAAATTATAATTTACGTATAATAAGAGATAATAAAAAAATTACTTAATAATTGATCATCACACCATATTTTATTTATTTATTTATCCCTTATATTAAAAAAGTAACAATAATGTACCCATTATTGACACGATATCTGGTCGGATTTACCCAGCTCAAACACATTATTAACAGAGTATATTCTCTTCATGGATATAGCGTGTATATCATCTTATTCTGTTTATGGATTTTGTTACTCTATTTTCGTTGATTTGACGGATCACATGTGACCTCGACAAGTAGATACCCACAAGACTCCTATGAATGGACGGCTAAGATACCTCGAGGTCAAACATCATACGTTACACACTAAGTTAAATTATTACCCAAACCAAGCACACCAATTCCTTAATTATTACCACATAAATCTTATCCATTTACCGATTTCAAAACAATAATTTACTAAAAAAAATGTTTTTAGATAATAAATTAACGTTTTTGGATTTTTTTCTAAAATCTAAAACTGATTTAATTAGAAAACCAATTAATATTAGATAAATTTAAAGTCTATTTTAATCGCATAAAATATATCAAATTAAAAAATTATTAAAAGAAATTTAAAAGTAATAAAAAAAAATAAGAGGACGTAAATAATTGGTATAAAAAATTTACCTCACGTAATCAACAGTTTTTATCTTAAAAGAAATTAAAAAGCAGACATCACTTCGTGGTCCCTCTTCCCCCCGAGAGGACACGTGTACGGTTTACAAAAACAGTACAATAATTTTCAACAAATTTTATTAATATTTTAATCCAAAAAATAAATACTTGGTGACTCAGCAAAAGAGAAAAATCAAATAAAAATAAACCAACAAAAACCGCAGAGGATAAACCCTGACCTGACGACACCGTGAAAATCGGGACGTCGAGTATATCGTAACACGAGCATCGCGATGCCACGTGGCTTTAACAGAGACGCCAATGTAGGGGGTGGTCCATGAATGGTTACCGGGAATAGCAGTAACCGGTACGCTAACCAGAGATATGCGACGTCATGGCGCCGTTCCATTTACTCTATAAATATCTTGACCCAGCAAATTTGGTAGAGCACTTTTATTCCTTCAGTCTGCCGACATCGTCTCCACCACCTCCTCCGTGTGTTTTGCTCATTGGTTTTTTTCTTCCCTTCTTCCATTTTCTTCTCTGGTTTATGAATCTGCCATTGTTGTTTTTGCTTAGCAAAAGCATTTTCTTGGTTCCTATTGTTGGGATTTTGATTTCTGGGTTTTCCTTACCTGAATCAATCTGATTGAAAATGTGTGGGATACTTGCTGTTCTGGGTTGTTCTGATGACTCTCAGGCCAAGAGGGTTCGCGTTCTGGAGCTTTCCCGCAGGCAAATCTCTCTTACTTTCACCTTTACTATTTTCTTGCTATGTTTTTGGAGAAACAAATTAATCAGTCTTGTTTTTCTGCATGTTATCTGTTTAAATAATTTGCACAGAACTGAAGTGTTAAGCAGGTCTAAATGGAGAAAGCGAGTGTGCTTTTGTTATTGGCTGAGATTTGATACTGTTTTATCTCTGATTAACCGTTCATAATTTATTTATTTGAGTTTTGACTGTACAAAGAGTCGGCTAATAGTAATCGATTACTGATCCAATATATTAGCATAATAATTGTGGGTGACATTGATTGATATTTCTTTTTTTTTTTTTAAAAAAATTATATTGTTCTAATAAGGCAGTGTACGTTGAATCATTTTCACAGACTCTGTCTCTGTTTCTTTTTTAAGTACTGAATATCCTTGAGATGATCATCTAATTGTATGACAGAGCCTGGGATGCATGCAGGGGATGATCCAATTTTTATGTTAATAATTGTCGAATAGTGCCCAGAACAGAGCTTTTCTGGAAAATTTTTCAAGAATAAAAGACCAGATCAATGCTTGAGTTTCTTTATAAAACTTGGGAAATTGCTGTAACTGATTTTTTTTCTATTAGTATAATAATGACTCATGTTACTGGTGTCCTGGATACTAAATAAATGTTGGGTCCATGTTAATTATGGTGATGTGAGGAGCAATAATTCGAAGAGGTCTATGATAAGATGATTAGTTACTGCGAGCTTCTTTTGTGGGTAAAGTTTGATTTGATATATTTGTTTTTTCAAACGTTGGTAACAGATTGAAGCACCGTGGCCCTGACTGGAGTGGAATCTACCAGCATGGAGATTTTTACTTGGCTCATCAACGGCTTGCCATCATTGATCCTGCTTCTGGAGATCAGCCTCTTTTCAATGAAGACAAGACGGTCGCTGTCACGGTAGGTCCATGTTATTTTATGAGTATATCGTATATTTTATTCGTCGTTTTACTGTTGAAAATACTGGTCTATACAACCGAAGCAGAGTATTATTGAATGATTAACGTAACCATACAAAAGCTAATAAGATTAATTGACAGTCATGAGGTTATATTAGTTTAAATAGGACGTGAAATCAGGGATGATAAATCTCTGTAATTTTTTGTCACTATTAGGTAAATGTTACTACGGCATCCACCAAGTACGAGTATATTGTATATGTTTACAGTATATGACAAGTATAAGTTACAATAACAAGAACCTGTTTGTACAAGTCAAAAAAGTTGGATCATGCAATTCTGAAAGCTCTAATGAAAATTTTCATTTGATGGTTTATATCCTTATTGAAAAACCAGGTCAATGGTGAGATTTACAACCATGAAGAACTGAGGAAGCGCTTGCACAATCACAAGTTTCGGACTGGGAGTGATTGCGATGTTATAGCCCATCTGGTAGGACAAATTCTTTTCCAAAGAAACAAGAATCACTCTTGAGTTGTTTTTTTTTTTTAATTCAATAGAATTGAGATTATTTTCTTGACTTATTTCTATAGTACGAGGAGTATGGAGAAGACTTCATTGACATGTTGGACGGCATGTTCTCTTTCGTGCTGCTGGACACCCGCGACAACAGTTTCATTGTTGCACGTGATGCCATCGGGATTACTTCTCTGTATATTGGCTGGGGTTTAGATGGTAGGCCTCCTTGATCCGTTGATTTAGGCTCATTTATGAATCATAGGTGTTTACAGGTTTGTGTTAAGTTTGTTCTTACTTTTCCGATTGTATGTATTGTTTTCTTCTTGTTTCACACAGGCTCAGTTTGGATATCATCAGAACTGAAAGGTTTAAATGATGATTGTGAACACTTTGAATTTTTCCCACCGGGTCACTTGTACTCCAGCAAGTCAGGAGGACTCAGGAGATGGTACAATCCTCCGTGGTTCTCTGAGGCTATTCCATCAACTCCATACGATCCTCTTGCTCTTCGACGAGCATTTGAAAATGTAAGATTAACAAATTCTAACCCAGATGGATTAGAAACTCTCGTGTTTGTTATTGGATGTATAGCTCATGTGTTAAGATGCAACTTTTTTTCTGTGTGCTTTTGCAGGCTGTGATCAAAAGGCTGATGACTGATGTGCCTTTCGGAGTTCTTCTATCTGGAGGCTTGGATTCCTCGTTAGTTGCTTCAATCACTGCTCGCCATTTGTCTGGAACAAAGGCTGCGAAGCATTGGGGAACTCAGCTCCATTCCTTCTGCGTTGGCCTTGAGGTACGTTGCAAGTTTTAAAGAAGATGCATTAATTCATAATACAGTTTTACAGGAGTTGTATTTAGTGCTTGGTCTTTCTCTCTGAGCAGGGTTCACCAGATTTGAAGGCTGCAAAAGAAGTTGCAGATTATTTGGGTACTGTCCACCATGAATTTCACTTCACTGTTCAGGTATTAACAATAGAATTCTGTTTCAAGAATTCAGAATCCTATTTTTATTTATAAATTTTTAATAGATTAGAGCTTGGAATCTGCAGGATGGTATTGATGCCATCGAAGATGTTATATACCATATTGAAACTTACGATGTGACAACAATCCGGGCAAGCACTCCCATGTTTCTTATGTCTCGGAAGATCAAGTCCTTAGGAGTGAAGATGGTTATTTCTGGGGAAGGCTCTGATGAGATTTTTGGGGGTTATCTCTACTTTCACAAGGCACCAAACAAGGATGAATTCCACCGCGAAACATGCCGCAAGGTAATGAACCTTGAATTTGGATATCATCTTCTTTGCCTACGAATGAGATGGATTATAATGCTAAGACTGTTAATGTTTTGCAGATCAAGGCTCTTCATCAGTATGACTGCTTGAGAGCTAACAAATCAACATCAGCCTGGGGATTAGAGGCTAGAGTCCCATTCTTGGACAAAGAATTTATCAGCACTGCCATGGCTATTGATCCTGAGTGGAAAATGGTATTCTTTGTTGAAACAAGACAAAAATTTTTGGGAATGTTTCTTTTGATACCTTGTTTTCTGGGAATTGTTGAACTTAATTGTTATATACTTTGTTTCAGATTAAACCAGAAGAAGGACGGATTGAGAAATGGGTTCTTAGGAGGGCCTTCGATGATGCAGAGCGTCCATATCTGCCAAAGGTGTCAATTTCATCTTTCACTCTGTCTGTATATTTATAGGTCACATTGAGTAAATCCTTTAAGTAACTTAGTCTTTGTTTTATGTTCTGCAGCATATTCTGTACAGGCAAAAAGAACAATTCAGTGATGGAGTTGGGTATAGCTGGATCGATGGCCTCAAGGCTCATGCTGCACAACATGTATATATATCTTCATTCTTTTTAAAAATTTTCAGTTTTTAAGTTCTAAGATTCCGCAATCACGAGGGAAACTTATGATCCTGGGTTCAATCCAAGAGTTTTAAAGGACCTAAATGTATAATGCTCAACTTTCTTGACTTGCTCAGGTGACTGATAAGATGATGACCAATGCTGCAAACATCTTCCCTCACAACACTCCAACCACAAAAGAGGCTTACTATTATAGAATGATCTTTGAGAGGTTTTTCCCTCAGGTAACCTCAAAGATTACAAGAAACAAACATATAATTCCCTTGATTATGTCCAGGATCTAATTCAATCGTCTTGGCATTTGATTCCACAGAATTCGGCCAGGCTGACGGTTCCCGGAGGAGCAAGTGTAGCCTGCAGCACAGCAAAGGCTGTAGAATGGGATGCTGCCTGGAAAAACAATCTTGACCCCTCTGGTAGGGCTGCGTTGGGAGTCCATCTCTCAGCGTATGATGATCAGGCGACCTCAGGACTCATGGGTCCGAACATCATCAACGACATTCCCCGGATCATGGAAGTGAGTCCAGGAGTAGCTATACAGACCTAAAAATTGATCCGGGTGCTTCTGTGCAAGCGTGAGAGTTGTTGATTTGACTCAGGGTATATATTTTATATATGGATTTAATCCAAAACTTTTAGATCCGTTGCTGTGTAAGTTCATGTTAGGTGCTGTGAACATGTTTAGGAAGTGAAAAAATGTGGGGGTGGGTTGGAAACTCTGTTGTTCCTGCTGCCATTGCCTTGTAGTTTTAGTACAAGGTTTTGATGTGCTTTCTCTAAGTTCTGTACTTACTTATCAATGAATGAGTAAATTTCCTTTATCTCTATATTTATTTGTTCAGTGATTCAACCAAAATTTTAATAAAAATTTCTAATCAATAATTATAAACTACTTGTACAGACGTGGTTGGAGGGTTATGTTTAATAAATTTACTTAATAATTTAAAAATAAATATTACTGGGAATAAATAAATAATAAAATTTTATTTTGATCATATCTATAAGTTGACGTAATAAATTTATCAATGTATGCATTTCGTATATTTGAAATGAGATATGGATTTTGAAGGATCTGTAAATTTTACTTATAAAAAAAAAAAATTTCTTTAAAATCTGTATGAACATTATTTTATTTTTTAAATTTCTATAATATTTATATTATATTCTTACTTAAATTCCTCGAAATAATGAACTATAGATTTAATTTTAGATTTCATAAACTCAGTTGAATCTAAAATCCAGTGAACTTTATAAAATAATTAAAATATAAATAGAGCAATAAATTCTGTATTTTATGGTCAAATTTATATATATAAATAGAGAAATAAAGTCTTAGCGAGTGGACCTGGCACGTCGCCACGGCCCAACATTTTCCGGCCGAAGCCTACATGCTTTAGTCCACCCGAACCGGCCCAACATTATCAGGCCTTAGGCCCAGTAGTTTCAAATTGGGTCGAATGAAGTAATCAAATCAAACCGGATCCAAAAAGACCGATATAACCCCCTCATCTAACCTCAAAAACCCTAGCAGTTCGCCCTTTTCTTCATCGCCACCAGTCTTCAGCCTGCATCTTCTCTCGCAGCCTCGGCTTGGTCTCTCACGAATAGGAAGCGACCATGGTTTCCGCCAAGAAGACAGTAATCACTTATCCCTCTGTCCTTTTATCATTGAGATCTCGCTTAAGCTGATTATATTTACATGGTCTATTAATAATTGCAGAAGAAGACCCATGAGAGCATCAACAACAGGTTGGCTCTGGTGATGAAGAGTGGAAAATTCACTCTTGGTTACAAGACAGTCCTTAAATCGCTTCGCAATTCAAAAGGTACCTTTTTTTTTTTCTCTTCTCTTTGGCCTCCTTTAAGGTGCCCTGTGCTTTCATTTTCTTTTCTTTCTTTACTGTGAAGCTGAAGATTTGATGGGTTAATTGCAGGGAAGTTGATTATTATCTCTAACAATTGCCCACCTCTGCGCAAGTCTGAGATTGAGTACTATGCCATGCTCGCAAAGATTGGGGTGCACCACTTCAATGGAAGTAAGTACTGTTTCTCTCATTTTGGAGCCTTTTTATTTATGGGTTCTGAATTTTCTTTTTATATTTCTCGTTGATGAGTTGCTTTGTATGCCGTGAAATCCTCTGGAACATGAGATTGAACATTTGTCATAATGTGAATAGCAAGTGTTTTTGGGTTTGTTTCGTTCTTTGGAACCGGAGATTAAGGAACGAGTTTAGGTTTAAGCTAAAACTTTATATACCCTTTCACTGTTGACTTTGTAGAATGCGTTCTTGAATATTTTGGGTAGCCCATTCTATAGTGCTGAGATTTGAGAGAAACAGAATATTGAGTTTCCATTTTGGTAATCAAAACATTTTTTATTTTTCATTCCTAAATCTAAAGATATTTATGCACAAGAGCATATTTGGTAATGTGTTTTTTTTACTCAAACAACAATTTGATTTAGAGGGGAAAAAGGTGGTTTTTTTTGTTATTTTCTGACTCGTTCTACATTTTTGTATTCTTCATTTTCTAATCATTTCCTCCATTTTCAGGGACCCGTTTTGCACATGTTTTTATGTGTTAACATATATTAACATAGAAAATAAAATTTAGAAAAAAAGTTTTCATGCTTCTCCAAAATGTGCATCTCTAAACTAGTTTTGGAATGTTTATTAATAGTTAGTTTATGTGTTTATAGTTTCATGCCTTCTGGATATCTTGGCTAGTTGTTAAGCTCGAGTGGCAGTTATCGACTCTTTAAGACTTGTGATTGGACAACGTTTGGATGAAATTTAGTGAACATAACACCTAATCCTTATGCTTGTAAAATCTTTATGTTTTTAAGGGTAGAAGACTTAAAAATTTATTGATGGACTAGAACTTTGAAATTTATCATTTCAGTTTTTCTTATTAAAGAAACTATAATAGTGAAGTTCCTATTCTCTGTTTTTGTTTTGAGGTTGTTTTTTACCAAGATATTACAATAATGTTGCTGCTTTATGTGGAGTGAAATCAAGTTTGTGTCATCAAGTTCAGAACATACAGTAAAAGTGCCAAGGGTAGTATTTATTTTTTTCCTGAATGCGTTATACAGTATTCAGATTACAAAAACATGTGAAATGGTCTAGAGCAATGTAATTGCAGGCGTGATACATAATTCAATAGAGCCAATTCTTTTGTGATCTGGTTTCTTATTCTCTTTATCTTTTCCCTTGTCGTTTTTGGCCTTTTTTGGTTTCAGACAATGTCGATCTGGGTACAGCGTGCGGCAAGTACTTCCGAGTCTCATGCCTGAGCATTATTGATCCAGGTACACAGAATGATTTACTATGATGGTTATTAAAATGTTATTGCCATGACATGTATGCTAATAGCTCTCATGTCTTTCTTTTCTTTCAGGTGATTCTGATATCATCAAGACGCTGCCAGGTGACCAGTGATTGACTCATTTTGGCTTATAGTACAATTCAGAAGCGAATTATAAACTTGTGGTCTTCTGTTCTAGTTCAAGTAGAAGTGTGAGACTTACTTTTGTTAAGATATTGGTATCTTATTGCTTCCATAGTTTATTTTTCAGCCTTTCAAGACTCTTATATTCGGAAGTTGTGTATGATTAATTTGTCATCTTGAGGCATGGTTTAATGAAGAAATATTTGAGTCATTTTTTTCATTTCTTTTATAAGCAAAGATTGGCTTGGTTGATGTTTCTTTTCTCTATTTTTTTAAAACAATGCTGTTTAGTTTTGTGGTGAGTTTCTGGTGTGTGGTTGGAGTTGTGATTTAAAGCTAGAGATGGAGAAATCTTGTATTTGGTTGGTTTAGCTGAGAAATCTGATAGGGCATGGTGCTTTGTTTTAGAATATTAGCTTATTGAAGAGATGCCTTTTATTTGAGGAGTTAGGAATCTTTCTGGTTAGCAAATCAAGTAATTCTGGTATATGTAAATTTAGGATGGGTATGGTTGGTTTAAATATTTTTTGACAATAACAATTTATTGATTTCATAAATTAAGATATGTATTATTTATCTACACTGTTATCTGGGATGTTACAAGTTTTTTACTACACAAAGCTAAATGTTCGTTTTTACCGTATTTTTTAATTATTCTGTAGTCATGACTCATGATGCATCATAATATTAGTTGGACCTTGTATGGAGATTGATATATATATATATATATATATTTTTATTGTAATTGGTACTAAATTAATAATTTCTAAAATAATCAATTTAATTCCTTGTAGAATACCAACGCCCTTTGTCTTGAGCAAGTAGATCAACAATATCACAGCCTCTGCCATTAGGGTTTATGACCAAAAAGGGAATAAACATTCAAAAGAGATTAGTTTTCACTAGCAGAGAGTCATGGTATAAGCACATTTTTTCTGATTTTCATGCCCTGGCCTCATCTTTTCAAGAACAGAAAAAGAAACAATAATAAAAAAATGAATTTTGATCTCGAGAAAAATAGAACAAATATTGACCACTCTATTCCATAATGAGAATATCCTAACATAGATATCAGTTAACAATTTCCTTGCATCGGGCACCAAACAATATATATATGTTACAAGAGGTGGAGACTTACAGAGAACATAAAGCTACGCCTAGGGTTGCTCCTAGCCAGATTGAAGGTATAAATAGAAGAAATGGAGGTGCCATTTTGACCCTCCTCTCTCCTTAAATTTCTGTAACCAATAAGAAAAGAAAGAAAGAAAAGATAGAAGAAAAGAAACAGATACTCATACAAAGAGATCAATAGAGCAAAATAGTGTAAAGTAATTGGTTCCAGGTGTCAGGCAATCCAGGGAGACACCAATGGCTACAATCGGCAGAACGGTCCGGGTTTGCCCTCTGTGCGGGGCTCAAGTCACCACTGTAAATAGAAGGGTGTCCATCTTTCCTTAGCTCAGAGAGCATGGTTATGTCCAGTAAATAAGCAGGGTAATTCATGCCACTGATCACCTCATTAATCACTTTCATTTGATCAGGGTAGGCTCCGGGGTATGATGTCCCACTAAAGGGTACTGTTTCTCCATAACAGTTCTTTGTTGTTGCTGTTGTTGCCCCAGCACTCCATTCACTTGGGCTGTCAATGTCATTTTCACAAATGTAACCACAGGTTAGACAGATTAACGATGTAGGAACTCAAGCAACTTCTTGTCCAAGATTGACAATCATCATCACAAATTTTAAGAACTAAACAGCTACCTCCTTCTAGATCAAACTTTAATGCATTCAAGTATGATAGTTTCATCTTTTTTAACCGTTAAACTTAATGAAGATTCAACTATGATGCTGGATGCAACATATTTTACCTACTACTATCATTGGATTTCTGAAATCAGATCTCGACCATAGAACATATGCAATAATTGTCAGTTAAAAAAACTTATTTTTACTGGATCTAAACTGTCAATAGGCATTGAGACAAGAATTTTCCACCCTCTATTCAGCACGTGAATTATGGACCAACAAAAACAACTCTTTAAAATTGATTTCAGGAAACACGGCATCCAATCCTCAATGAATATGTGAAGCAATGGTTTTATAAGAGGCCAAGCCAGTGGTCCTCTGCAACATGCAGACTACTTTGTCTTTGTCCGGAACAGTACATGATTCATTATTATCTTCATAAGAGGCTTTCTCCTTTTTGAAAAAAGAAATTTAATGTTGCCACCGACAAGAAATTTTGAGCTCTACTTTTATTCTCTCTTCAGCAGTTTTTCACGAGCTTGTAAAAGAAAGCAGTTAAAAAAAGTGGTGCAGGACAGAAGAAAGAGGCTTCTGTCTTCACATTTGACCTTTTCCCTCATTTTTCAGTTGAATAATAAAAAATATCTCAAGCAAGCCTTGGTTGTTAAGTTCTATTGCTAACTGTCTATGCAATTTCAACAACGTGACAAAACAAATAAATGTAAGAGTTAAATACTAAAGAAGATTCCATGGTAGGAAGACAAGATCTATAATCTAGAGTATAATTTTCCAAAATTTTCAAGCGAGATCTGCAAGTTTCTATGTTTGGAAACAAGATCAATTCCTATAAGATCCTGTAAGCAAATGCTGCTGGTGAGTTTCCCTTTATTCTCTTTTTTAAGACATGCAGAGGAAGATCTAAACTTTGTTATACTAAAATGAGAAATGCACCAATTACTGGTCAAAACCTGCAGGTGCAAGGCTTATGTGGGTCTTGTTATTTTAATTGTATGTTGCTGGCATGATTATCACATGTCTGGATATTCTGCACAGCTATTGCAAGTGGCAATAAAGGGTACCTTCTTTATTTTAAACCCCTCAGCAATTTAAGCCTATCCAGTTTCTTTGCAATACATTCTGCTGGGAGAAATTTTGGACCAGATTCAACAGTGGTTGGCCCCATCATGACCCCTACCCGCAACCCCATGTACAGCTCAGATTGGACCGAATTTTTAGTGCTTGAAGCTACTTATCTTGAGCTCCTTACCACCCCAATACCCAATAATATAATCTACAGTTTCACTACATCCAATTATTCGAGAGAAAGATACATAAAATATACATATATAGACACATGGGTGTATAGAGAGAGAGAGAGAGAGAGAGAGAGAGAGAGAGAGAGAGAGAGAGAGAGAGAGAGAGAGAGAGAGAGAGAGAGAAGAGTTACTTGTAATGTGTAGGAGAAATAGACTGGAAAAAAACTGTGGTTCTGGTTGTGTCAATGTTGTTATCAACCCAATAAGCCCATGTTCTTAGTCCTTTCTCCAAAGCAACCAGACGGTCCATGTCTTGGTAATATTTACCATCTAACTGCATTAGATCCCACCTGTCCATATCCACCTTAAAACCTTTAAAGATATAATAATTATCCACATAAATATATTTTGCTTTAGTGCTAGTGGTATTAAGAAAAAGACATTATAAGCAGCTGAGCTTAGACAACCAACCCTTGGAGAGATCCTTTATGTGTCCACCAGTGACCAGTGTTGAATAACAGCACATCAGCGTTCCGCCAGGCATTGCCATTGCCAGAAATCTCCTCTAGCCTTAGAACTCTCTTGCCTTGAACCACATCTATGTCCACCAGATATGGAGCTTTGTAAAATGACACTGAAACGCCGTAGTCCTGCATTATATAACCAAAACAAACCCAATTTAGGGATTCACTTTTTCTGGGTAGCAACAGGACATGACGTGGCTTTCACTGGCCACTATTTTTGTTTGGAGGACATGAGCCTTAATGTGTTGCAGTTGGCATCAACTTAAGCAAAATTAGTGCTATCACTTGCTTGCCTTTTGGTTTTGGGTCCCTCAAAGTCAATAAAATTATAGTATGCTACAATTTTTTTAACCGCTGTAAAACATGATGGCCTCCTTGATGAGAACCACTTTTTTGACTAGCATTTGAATTTCTTAACAAGAAGGGTGTCTCTTGATCGATGTTTTTAGAAATTCATTCCATTTATCTAAACAATTTATTGGGTGTAAAGTGACCCGAGTGCCATGGATTCTGTTTTTAAGGAACAAAGAAAAGAATACTGTTTTTCTCCGTTCCAGAAAAGAAGAATAAAAGAAATTTTTGAAGAAATGAGATCAGAACCATAAAACCAAAGAACTAAGAAAATGAAAAGTTGCTGTTTTTAGTGTTGCAAACATATCAAACTCACCAGGAACTTGAAAGTGGAGAAAGGATCTCCTCTAATCATCTGGGTCTGAGTTCTTGGTGCTGATGTAGCAATCATGCAAATCAACGACTGCCATTGATTCCTCCCAAGCGAATCACCCACAAACATCACAGTCTTCCCTTTCATTTTCAACAGAAACTCAAGCCCGTTGAACCTAGGAAGAAATTGCTACAACAAGAATCAGCCATACAATGTCCAATAACTCATCACATTGCTGCAACCATCACATCACACTGCCTCATCTAACACCCAAAAAACAAAAAAAAAAAACAAAAACAAAAACAAAAAAAGAAAAACTCTTTTGGCCATTTTAACAAACAGTTAGAAATCTTACCTGGGTAGCTCACAATTGAGAGGCTGCCATCGATATTTGAGGTAATCAGAATCAGGTCGACCGAACATTTGACAGTTGAATTCAGGGTCAATGATGGGGCAAGCAGAAGATTGGTAAAGTGGGTAGGAATCATCGCGGACCCAAGTGCCTGCAAACAATGCACAGGTGCTCTGGTTAGCTCGGAACCCAGGTCTACTGTTATGGTGATGATTGTTGTTATGGTGGTTCCTGAAGCTCAATATCAAAGCCGAATAAGGTGTCTTCAGCTGAAGAAGAAGAAGAAGAAGAAAGGCAAATCGTGAACCATAAAAGTAGAATGGAGATTGGGAAAAATGGGATGCCATTGTGCAGTAAAGGAACCTATAAGGAAAGGAAACAAAGGAGAAAAAAACAAAAGGTGCGAAAGAGAGAGAGAGAGTGTGTGTGTGAGTGAAGAGACGACGTGTATTTTTGTTGTGTAATATATAAAGGGCAGAAAGAAAGTGAGGCAAATGGTTGTGTAAAAGTGTTGTGTGCATGTGAGGGTTGGATTTCAATGGCGGCCGACGGTGAAGGTGGTGACTTTATGTTGTTTGATTCCCAATTGGTGCAAGTGGTTTTGTACTTTCCTAGATTGAAAAGAAAGGAAAAAAAAAAAAAAAGAAAACCCAGATAGAATTTGGATCATTTGATTCTAAGATGAAAAGTTAGATTTCAGAATGAATTGATTTATTGTTTAATTAAGTAATTATGAACTACTTTTACAACAGGAATAAAATTGGTTCCGTCTTTAATTTGAATAGAGCTGTATGAGAAATCCAATTATTGATCTGCTGAGAAATCCAAACAGAAAGGAATGAGGGTAAAAAGTGAACAAGTTGATTGGAAAAAGCAGAGCAGAGAAGGAAGAATAGAAGCAAGATTTGGTGCCTTTGTAATTGCAAAAAAAAAAAAAAAAAGCACTTGTTCTTTGCTTTCCTTCGCCTGCATACCCACAGAATAGGATTTTTATCTACTTCACTCTTTTCATGTGAATACAACAATTTGGGAGATACACAACTGGACGCAATCTACATGTAGAGACTGCCAGGAACTTGTAATTTAATTATTTATTTATCATGCCAATATATATATACCTATTTTTTTTTTTTTTTTTCTAATACAAAATTAATAAATTTATAGTTTTCATATGACAATGGTGAAAATTTGATATTATTATAGATATGAGAAAATATATTACAAAATATTAAAAATCGATTGCCTCTCTATTTAAACAATTGAAAACCAAGATGGGCCAGGTCAAGTTTGAACTGGTAAACATTGTATGAATGGTTTTGGTCCAAACTCATATTATTTTTTTAAACTTTTTAAATATTATGTTTGAATTAAAAAGTATATATTTTAAATTTTAAAATATAATAATTCAATTTTTTTTTTAAAAAAAAATAATCACCTACGAAATTGTACATTTAAATATAATTATTTGATACCGAATAAATTATCTACAATACATATGTATTGCGGTTTTATAGTTAAAAAATTAAAAAAAAAAAAAAAAATCTTTTAATAAAATGTAAGTTGCAAGCAGACAATTTTAGAAAATAAAGCATAATAGGTAAAATAGTGTTTTTAATTTATTATATTTATAATGAATTATTTAGTTAATTTTCTTTTATAATCAAATAATGATAATAAAATTAATTAATATTTATATTTAGTAAAATTATTATTATTATTTTTCTTTTTCTGATAAGAGAAAAATGAAACCAAAGGCTTAGTTAATGACATTGAATTGGCGAGTGCCCCAGCGAGGGGCTGGATGTAAGCCTTTGGGTTTATGGTATAAATTGGGTTGTCTGCCCAGTTGCATTCTGCTTTAAATGGCAGCAGCCTTAGTAATTTTGCTCTTTATTATTCTTATTATTTTCTTAAGCAATTTAATTTAATTTATTTATTTATTTATTTTTTTGTCTGGGTTTCACAAGCAAAGATTAAATATTTGTATAGCTGGATGGGTCCTTCAACTAACGGCGTCATCCAAAATAGGGATTATAATTAAATGGGTATTTGAAGCCACATTTGGATATAGTTTTTGTATTTTAAAAGTATTTTTGTAATTAAACGAGTAAAAAAAAAATTATATATTTAAATGAAAGAACTAAAATTTATAACTTTTAAAAAATAACTTTTGTGTTTTTAACAAAATTTCAAAAATCATTGAATAATTGAATAATGATGAATATGATTCATTCCGTTTGTTCGTATGAAATTCCTCTCAAGATTCAGACCGAATAATATAATGTCTAAACTTTGAAGAAAAAGCATAAGAGGAGAAGTTGAAATCTCCCTTTTATTTATTTATTTTTTGTATATCTAATTATTTATTTCACCAAATATTTGTAAAGACCAATATGTAAAGCAAAATCTATTATTATTTACGAACGAATTTTAAGAAGTTAATGGTAAATTGTACAATTTAATTTTAACTAACACCAAAACTAATCAAATATTTTGGCTAATTATGTAATACAAAATTTGCACAATTTACTTTGAAAAAAAAAAAAACATTTCTTAGTTTAGTTGCCAATACTACCAGTTCATATTTTACAACAATATTTTAGTCTCTGATTCTTTCCTTTTTTTTTTTCAAATTTATATATATATATATGTATATATATGGTTGTAGCCCTTTGAACCAAGCCCATAAAAGATTTATGGCCTCTTGAATGTAAGAGTTATTTGATTTGGTTCAAATGGTTAAATTCCAAAAGTTGCTGCTATCCTCAATCCATTCTTTTCTTTTCTTGGTTTTCTCTGTTTTCTTTCTTCCTTATTGGTTATGCCTGTGCATGTCTTTTCTCTTCTGTAAACACACACACACACACACACACACACACACACACATATATATATATATAAATGTTAATAAACAAAAAGTAAAAATATCTTTAAATGCCATAAAGAGCTTAGATTTATATTCATGATTTGTCAAAACCAATTTGCAGGATTCCAGCAAAGTGCATTTAAAGTTAATAGATAAAAGTTATGCATCATCCAACATATCTTTATACAACTAAAACATTATTCTATAATTTAAAGACTAGAATAGAGAGACAGAGAGAGAAGATACGAATAGGGTAACCTGATAAGGAGTCATCAGACGGATATCAGAACCATAAAAAGAGGCTCTCTTACAACAGATCATCACATTATCTTCCTTACTATGTCCTAACCTAAATAGCAAAAGAAGAATCTCTGTATATTTTATCCTAATATTTAGGTCAAGAACTAATACAACTATGGAGCTATACTGTAAGCAAAATGTAACAGAGAAAACAAGAAGCATGAACCTGGGAAACTCCATGTTTAGTGTTCCTCTTTCTTTCTTTCTTCTGGGATGAAGTGGAAAGAGGAAATAATGGAGCTTAAATGCATGTAATCTTCACCAATAAATAAGGAAATTATAAAATCTTATTCCAAGGTCATGGTTGCATTCATAAACTATATTGCGCTTCCATGCACCAAAAAGGAAATTCATCATTAACCTTACATGAATCTAACTTTCCAAAAACTGTAAAATAAATAAAAATAACCCAATTCAAGATCCAGATAGATTTCAGAAAAGAAAGAAATCTTGATGTCCTTGTCTAACAAAATTTGAAGTCCTCTGCTTCCAGTCAAAACTGTATCTTTTGACAATCTTACAGACATGGTGCACTTGGAACTTATTTCCAAATCATCATATCATATAGAGAAAGAAATAGACTGGAGGTTCAATATTTTACGTCGTCTGTAGCACTTAGCATAACGATCAGTTGCACTCTCAGTCTGGAAATCGGCATCTTCTACTGGACACTCTGGATTAATTATATCAAGGCATGGTTTACTCTCAATAAGAGTATGTTGGTTCGTCTATGGACAAGGAACAGATGAAATAAACTTGTATTGAGAAGGAAATAAAGGGAAATGGCAGTTTAGAAGAAGTAGAAGAAATAGGAGCACTAGACTTAAAAGAAAAGTTGAACGGTGGAAGAGTTTTGGCTATGCAGTTACCATATCAACCAGATGAAGAGGGCATTCATGGCCATTGCTTTCACAACCAGCACTTGTCCTGGCAAAAGAATTCAAAATAATCAATTAGGTGAACAGCAAATC